GAAATATGGAACAACTGAACAGAGAAGATGACAAAAAAACAAAAACAATAAACCTGAAAGATAGAAGTTTGGATTACTGAGAGAAAATGTCATGATCTCGCCCTCAGGAAACATTTTCAGTTTTGTGTTCTGTTTGTGTTTTAAGACTGGGTTAGATACGTATAAACAAAGCTCTAGTACAAGCTTTTATTCTGTGAATTTCCCATCTTCCTCTGTGCAATAATTGTGTTCATCTCCTGGGTTAAGACCCCACAAGCTGACTACGGCTTTGTAGTTGATCTTTAAGGCAATCAATTCTCTGCACTGTGAAAGAGAAACTGAAACCTAACTGGTGTTTTTCACTTGGTTAAGTGAGTCAACAGCACAAATTCAATGCTGCAGCTCCTCTGCATCTCTTTGTCATTGTCTAATAACTGGCAAATTAAGCATAAAGTTTGGACTCAAGTCAAATTTCTGTGAAGCAATTATTGAAAACCCATTCCAGTGTTCTTGTTACCAAAGCTGGGAATAAACAATCTGTATATTCCAGGGTTTCTTATACAACTGACCTGTTAAGGCACATAGAAACCAATAATCGTTTATTATCAATGAAATCTGAAATTAATTGTTTTTAAATCTACACAGAAACATTCTGTTTGCATACCCTACAAAAAAATTTAAGATGCAGAAAACTAGAAGGTTTAGAAATGAGAAGTTTTCACTTAATTTGCTGTGAAATTACATGATAATACTTCAAAGCTCAGCAAGTGATGACTTTGTCCTCCAAAACAAAGCTTTCTATTATTTGGCAAGGTCTTGATGCCCATTCGAAATCATGAAACAAATTACTTTTAGGTCTTTGCCTTCATAACAGATTCATAAGAAGTAACAGTGTGATTGTAGAAATCATTAAGATCTGTGTGAAAAAACAAAATAGAAACTTAAATTTCAATTTGTTCCTTATTTCTGTATTTCTATGTGGACTTGGATGGTGTTTTTGACCAGAGGCATTAACATGGTTTGTTAGGTTTTGCAACCTAAGGCAAGTTTTTCAAATCTCCAAGCATCTAATATCTACCTGAGGTCTGGGAACTTAGAAACTATGTAGTTCTACACTGTGAATAAAAGTGTGTAGGACATGTGTTTTCTCAAGATAGATGAATAGATTAATTAGGTGGTAATAGAGGTTTGTCTGTGAGCTGAATTTGGCATTTTTGTATTGCAAATGATAAAATACACAAATTTCAGAATACTTGCAATGAGTTTAATTTCATTTATACAGCACCAGTTCACAACAATAGCTATCTGTTTTATATTTTAAAGTAAACCTCCAACAATATTTAAGAAAGAACTCCAGTGATCCAATGATCCCATGAGCAAAGATGGTGGGAAAGAAGAACTCCAGTCGAACCAGGCTCAGGGAGGGGTAGCCATCTGCTTTGTTGGAGAGAGAGTGGAAAAAGAAGCGAGCATACACAGACCATGGACAACAGACTGCAGACTGCAGGAGTGACACAAAAGTCAAAGACATGCAATTATGGTATATAAAAGCACCAAGAGTGAAAAGACAAGAGTGGCAAACAAATGCTTAGTGCATTATAGCCTATAGCAGCATAACAGGGTCAACTAATCCAGACATCACAATAAGCTTCATCACAGGGTAAGCTTTGAAAATATTCTCAAAAGTATAGAGAGTGTCTGTCTCCTGAACCCAGACTGGGAGACTTAGATCTGGATTTGTGTTACATTCAGTGCAACAACTCGTCAATTCAACCAATTCAATTTGATTTGTTATTTCAGCGTTTTATTTTTATTTTTAAGTGCTGAATGTCTCCATATAAAGATATTTTCCTTGCCTAGTGACGCACCCTGTTGGCCATTTTGTATATAGCATTGCACAGTTTAAAAACAGAAATAAAATATGAAAGGCAGGTAGTAAGTAAATCGTAGTATCTGAATAAGCTAGATTATATCAGATATAATTATGGTGGTAATGATGTAGTTACCGACCATAGACAAAAAATAGCTATGGAAGAACAACATGATTTGTGGCAATATCAAATAAAATATAATAAAATAAATGCTGCAATATATGTAATCAGTGTAATTCAGCTGTAAGAGGCTCATAAATAACTTAGAGCACTTAACTTTAACATTGTTATTTATAGAGTTTAGTAAAACTGAAACAAAGGAACATTATTTTAAAATATAAAATCGGGTCACATGCGTGCAATAGCATTCCTGCACAAAGTCATGTTTTCTTTGGGTGTGAGATGGTCATTACCCCAGTAAAACCTGTCACTTCATCATAATATATGTGGTTATGAGCACATATTTTTAACAGGCTTGTGCTGTTGATGCTGGTTTGCTAGATGAGAGCGGCAATAAATCCTAATATTACATGTCAGATATCCCATGGGACTGTCAAAACTCTCTGACATCAAATAGTTAAATAAAATATAACCAAAACTGAAACTCCAAATGGTGCAATTGCTCACTCAGCTGCTGCTTTTTCCAGATTCACTGGCTTCATTGGGCCATGTGTGTAATTGTGAATCATATCGTCTGTTATTAATGTCAATCAAAACTAGTCACTATGATCCAAATTGCTGATGTGCTCAGCTGTGGCAAAACAAAAAAACAAAAAAACAAAACAAAAAACAAACTGTTTGAATTTGAACTTATTCAAATATTGGTGATTTTATACTTTTTATAGCACGATTGAAATAATTCACAGATATCTTTTGTAGAGCAAAAATATACACAAACAAACACTGAAAACAGAGCAACGAACTATTCTAAATATGACCTCTGTCTTTTTGTGGATAGCAGAACTGACAATGGGTAAGGCTCTGGTCACAAAATGAGAGGAAAGTTTAAACCCAAAAGCCACATTCAGGAGGTTATTTACTTGGAAGTCACTCAGCCGTTTGCTGTAAAAAGATCTAAGTGCAACAAGGAAGAGGAGTAGTCTGCAGCATTCTGCCATACTGCTGATCATCTCTCACCCTCAGTCATTCCAGTCATACCAGTGAGTGAGGATCTCCTGCTTCTTTATAAGACGGCGTGTTGCCATGGCATCGAATGCCAGCCATATGTTGGAGGCTGCCCTGGAGCAAATGGATGACATTATTGCTGGTAAGAGGTCCCTACTCATGTTATCTGAAATCCAAAAGACTGCCCAGTTTGTAATTGCAGGCTTGCATAAAACCAGATATATTCACATGATTTGAGTGTGAGCTCTTCACATCTCTGCATAGTAAGTAGAAAAACAAGTTAAAGATAAAGATAAAAGAGTTTTAAAGCATTTGTAGAGCATGAGAGACAAGTCTAGAGAATGTGAAAACAGTTTGTTTTTATGAGATAACAGCTTTGCCTCTTTTTGCAATTGTCTTCTTAATTCTTTCTCATTCTTATAGTACTTTTGCAATTTTAATATTTCTCATCGGTTTGAAAATCTCACAGCATACTAAATTCAAACACCACGACTTACATTTTGGCTTCTTCCCAACTGTGTTTTCTAACAGAGGTGATACATTTGAGTCGCTGCTCTTTGTCACAGCCACAGTGGTGCTGTTGCAAAGGGTCAAAAAACAAGGCTCTATTAATAGAGGTGACGGCTCGATCATTATCATGCTTCAGCGAAAAACCATTTCACGTGCAATAACTAATAATCACACTCTGTCAGCAGAAACCAATATTTACAAAGTATACATCTGGCCATGTCCGCCATATGTCCTGATGTATTATTGCCCTTTAATTTAACTTCAGATATTATATGTGGAAAGCAACTTTCTGCAGTTTAGACATGGTGATTACACTAACTGCTACTACATGCTGAACCTCTAATTTGTGGACTTAAGAAGCCACAGTCAAAGTATGATGCTATTTACATTCAGCAAGCTGCATGAGAGCATATTAGTGCCCTCAAGAGGTCATTTCTGGAACTATTCTTACTTGCGCTTCCTAGAAACTTTGACTTAATCAGTTGTGTACTAAGACAAATACCCAAGAAGTTGTAAGAAGTTAGTAGGATGGTTAAATAATTAAGCTGTGTGAATGTTACAGTATTGATTTCATGTGTTCCTAGGGAAAATGGGGGAAGGCCTGTTCAGTGCTCGTATGCAGTTACATGTCAAAGATTATCAGTCTCCAGAATGCAGTCAACAGTTGACCCTTCCCCCACCCTTGGATCCTGCCCTCAAGGCTCTTCAGCTGACTGAGGCCCTCAGGGCAGTGCTGGAGGGGCAGGGGAATGAGGAAGGACAGGATGCTCTCAGGAAACAAGTATCTGATGATACTGCAGATATTATATTAAAATGGTTGGGAAGAGGGGGGGTGAGTATGAATGATTCCCAGGTTTGTCACCCATCTATAACAGAGTTATATAACACCTCACCTAGCATGCAAATCCATACCTCAGTATGAAATATTTACAAGCTAATGTCTAATTCTAGTCCAACAAGAGAACTGAATTGATAAATATACTAATATTTTGGCATGGACTAGCGCTACAAAGAACTTGGATTTTATTAGCTGCATGATTTGGCTGTCTTTGATCCTGGCCATCAGTACCTGGAGGGCTTTTTCCTGTCTGTGAAGAAGTAGTGAGCTGGAAGCAGGATCTTTTGCAAACAGCACTGTTAATGAGATCCAGAGCTACTGGTTAAAGCACAAGCAGCTGCTCACCGTTTTTTGGTTGTTGTTTTCTTTTTTAATTCTCTCTTATCTCCTTCATTTCCTTTTCTGCAGTAGTTGTCTGTGTTGTCCTTCAACAGTTTTTGCCCTCTTTTACTATGCTTCTGCCCAAGTTCGATATTGTAAACTTTATGCTCTTGTTCCCCTTCAGTGTCCTATAGTGCCCCCTCCCCTTCTGCTTTGCCTGTACTGACTTCTTTCTCTCCACCACATCTGACAAGCATGTGTGGCAAAAAGTTTCCTCTCCCCTGTTCCCCTTTAGGAAGCCCCACAAAATTAGCTAGGCTGGAAGGTACTTAAGACAGTGCAAGAGAATACTGGAGAGTAGCAGAGAGAAGTCTAGAGAAAGGAAGTCAGGGCAGAAAAAGATGAATGATCATACATGAGATGCAGAAGAAATGCTGAGTTGTGGTAAACACTGTAGCAGTTTGAGTACATGTGTTAGAGAAACAGGAGAAAGAAAGAGGGGCAGTTAAAAAGAAGTACAAAAAGGGAAAAGAAGAAAGAAAGGGAGTACAGCCAACTGGCATAGTTTGACTTATTCAGCTCAGCTCTAAAAGTCTCAGGCAGCCCAGACTCCAAACCACACGGACCTAGATCCTCTCTGCACACTCTGCAACTGCAATGTGGAGGCTCTATAAAAGTAGGAGATAGAGAGTGCAGCACAGTAAAGAGCCATTCTTTTAAAACGCTATGGATTTTATGTTCTGGTTTCTACCAGGGGCTGAATTCTTTCAGTTTTTAACATTAAAAGTCAGACCTGCAGTGTAATGGGCCTGCAGAATGGAGTATGATATTGATTTCTACAAACATTTTGCCTGGCTCAGAAAGGTAAGATGTTTTCCACTTGCATGTCCACTCTTCTTACTTTCATACTGAACCAAAATTGCAGGGTCTTGTTTGTTTATTTTCTTGCAGTGTTGTTGCTTTTACAGTATAATTGCCGTTGCCATGGTAGATAATTTGAGGGAAGATGTGTTTAGCTTTTGTGCAGAACACATGCCGTCTTAAACACACAGGTCCCTTGTGGAGCAGAAAAGGGGGCAATGACTATGAAGCATCAAAAATACCAAATGTCTTTATCTGGTATGTGATTAGAAAAATGTTTTCCATTTAGTTTAAGTGCGACTGTTAGAAAATCTTTCAATTTTTCAATGTTCCGTTTAAAAAAAGTTGGTTGCAAAAAGTGTTTTTAAGAAGCTAAAAAACACTTTTACAGAATCATTAACAGTGAAGCAAACTGAGGTTGACTAGTGAGCTTACTTCTGCATCATATGTTAAACTATTTGAGAATAATAAATGGACAACCAGGGTGAGATCATTTCCTGACTCTTTAACCTATAGAGTCTTTGGATAGCACATACCATCTTGCTTCCATTAAAGTTATTACTTATCACTGCCCCCATTTGGTGAATTCTTACTGAATTCTTATAGGAATCCTTTTCATGCCAATCCTACAAGCCAATCATATGTTTGGAATTTTTTAAGAATCTGCAAGGGGAAAATTGGTGATCTAAAAATGTTTGTATAGATATTACTAACGTTTATAATACTGTGTGAAAATGCAATGTTACTTTCAGCTTGTTTATGCATAAAAAACAACATAACATAACATTTGTATCAAAACTATGAAAACACAAAGATTCAAAAACTAGAAATGACTGCTCACTTTTGAACACTGTTAAAAGAAATGATTATTCTTCCAGTTACTCCCAAGATAGCCTCAAAAAGTCTTTTTTCTGAATGTAGTAGTAATAATGCTAAGTAATGCTATTTTTTAAAGAACATATATGGACTTTTAACACCTGGAGATAAGTTTCAATGCTGTGTATAGATCTAAACAACATGGAGACAATTCATATCATTATAGCATTATTTGTATGTTGAGGCTGTGTGCAGGCAGTAGTGATGGCAAGGAGGATCCAATGTGCAGACACTCGGAGGAAGAAAGTTAACTCAAACTCAGATTTATTGCTAGATGGTAAACAGAGAACTGCCAAAACTGAGAATACAAATACTAAACTGAAAATAACAACAACCTGAACTGGCAGACAGCTAGCTAGAACAAACAGCATGAAATGCGGGTAGATCACAACACTGACGAAGAGAAACACAAGGCTTAAATACACAGAGGGAGCAATCAGGGAATGGGAAACAGGAGGGAAACACAGCTGGGGCAAATCAGGGCTAACGAGACCAAGGAAGCAAAACCTGATACAATAACATGAGACACAGACTTTCAAAGTAAAACAGGAAACATAACACAGAGATGCAGACTTTACATGGGGATACAGCAGAAGGGGAGACAGCGACTATGGATCACAGAGAGAAAATCAGAACACTAAAACTCTAGCCAAACCCACACACAGAACCTAAACTAAGAATAATCCTATAACCCATAAGACAAAGCTAGAATATAATGAAATAAACAAAATCAAAGAACCAAAAACACAAAACACTGGGTTGACGACCCAGGCACCCTAACAATTTGTTCCTGTCCCACATATGTTAGGAGAATGACCTGAATGTCAGGGTTGTATTGTTTTAACTTAACACAATTAATCAGGCCAGGAACCAAGAAGACTGTAAGCAACATGTTATTTTGCTCTTTACTGCCCTTGTACACTAAAGGTTCTGAATTATCCCTGACTAAACAGAACTCAGACGTCAGCCAACACTTCCCCCCAGTAATCAGCTGGTAAAAAAATGTTCTACACAAATGTTAATGCTAGATAAGAACTTTTAAACCTATTACAGTCTTTGCACACATTACACACATTAGACACAATACAAAGTGTGTGTGTGTGTGTGCGTGCGTGTTGTGTGCTAGAAGACAGATTTGACCCACTGTGCTGCTACTCTCAGTTAGCAGTGTAACTAGTGAGCCTAACTGCTGCCCTGTATTCTGAAGGTAAACCTCCATTCAAACGCTAACAGTGAGTCTTACCAGGAGCGTTTGTCCCGTCTGGAAGGAGACAAAGAATCACTAATTCTACAGGTACAGGCATTTCTCTGGATGCTTTTTACTTGCTTCATGCATCTTGAACACATCTCCATTGGGTTCTGTTTATAAAATGTATATGACCTATGAAAAGGTTGTTGCACTGGCAACATATGTAACAATAAAGTTGAATCACTTCCACACTGTATGATTCTGCATAAAAAAAGAAAAGAAAATGGGCACATGATACCGCACATTCAGTAGGAAGTAAATCTAATCAGCGCTCGTATCAGATAGCAGTGTTACAGAAGAGAGGTGAGAGAAGGAAGGTGAAAGGACAAAGGTAGGTCTCAGTATTGTGTTGGAAATGTTGCGTAATTGTGTTTTTGTTCAACTTGTGGGTGAAGTAACAGTCTCAAAGTGGGTTTGGTGCCGTTACAACACTTGAATGTCTTGTTCTGTGTGATCTGTTTGTCAGTGTATGTGTAGGTGTGTTTAGCACTCAAGACTGCTCGGCAAGTGTGTCTTAGACAGGTTGAGGCTAGCACCTTTGTGTGCTGTAGCTGTGTGTGTGAGAGAAGTCAGATGCCCTGTTTGTTTCTTCAGCCTGCGCATGAAACATTTCTTTGGAAAATCCGTTCTAGTTGGCTGGTTGGGCCAGCTTTTTGGCATATGATTAGCTATTATGTGGCCTTAATAGTTTCTCTGCAGATTTAAATTTAACCTGGTTTCTGCTGAAATTGCTGGAGTCACTGAAGTGTGGCAAGCACCTACCCCGGCACAAAAAAACCTTCATTTCTTTGAAAAGGAAATGTTTACACAGTTTGATCTGGCACAGATGTGGAAATGTCAACAAAAAATGAGCAGCAGTCATTAACTGAGAAAAGCTGATATTAATAAATAGTGCACCGTGAGAAACTTTGTAGTAAAAGAGAAAATATGAATCCTGAAGAATGCTAGGCCCAGGCTGTAATTGTGTGATAAAGTTCGCATCCAAGCAATGTTAAAACCATTTCATTCTCCAGCCTTTGCTTAGAAAACACATCCTCATGTCTAATATCTTTCCATCCACCTTCACAAAAACACACAGGTGAGTGTGCTGACAGACCAGGTGGAAGCGCAGGGGGTGAAGATCAACGATTTAGAGAGTTCTTTGATGGAGCATCGGCACAAACTCAACTCCACAGAGGAAATGTTACAGCAGGTATTCAACTGGCCTTAAATCATGCTCATTTTTGTCAAATCCTTCTCTGTACTAAATACTTGACTTTTATTGCTTGAACAAAATAAGGTATGAAAAGTTATTATTTCAATACTGTTACCACTATATAATTAACCGGGACAGGGCATCAGACTGTCCCTCTATCATTTAATTAATTTTTTCTCATAAACTTCAGAATGTTATTTGGGATGAGTTCAGCATCATGGAAAGAAATTCCTTGCTCAGATTCCAGTGCATCTGGCTGCAGATTACCCCAGCAACCAAAATATTTAGGACGCTCAGACTCATTCCAGGACAGCGTCTCAGAATGTCTGTCTGGTTCATGCAGGGCCAGACTAGTCTGGCTGGGCAGGTGATTATAGCATGAGTAGCCACACCCCTAATCTATAACCACCAGAACTGCTTGCAAACAGGCATTAAAAGAGAAAGAAAGGGAGAGGAGACGAGAGAGAGAGAAAGAGAGAGAGAGAGAGAGAGAGAGAGAGAGAGAGAGAGAGAAAACAACAGAGGGAGGGTGGAAGGGACGAAGAAAGGAACAAATGAGGAAGGAGGAACAGCTGAAAAAGGTGGAGAGATGGGCTGGAGAAAAAAGAAAATGAGGTGGTGCTCCTTTAAGAGTTACAAGTGTACAAGTGTGTATACTTTCAAGGACTTTGTTAAACAGTGCAGAGAACGCTGAATGGAATAGACGTATGAAAATTTACTGAAACCACAGCATCCATGAAAGAAATACACTTTGGTTTCCTTTACTTCATGCCGACATTGGAAAATGAACAAGGTAGTATGTTTTATTCTTATAATCCAGTGCAAGCTCCATTCTACTGTTTCAGTCAGTTCTGACAAATTTCAAGAGTGCCAGAAGTGTTTCTTAGCTACCTGATTAGCTGTGAATTTGATTTGCAATGTCTACTTGTCTGTGTCATGCTGCCCGAGTGTGCAGAGTATCAAAGGGCAGCCGGGAATGGTTTCTTGGAGACATGGTCATTATGAGGCTTTGGACCTGAGCCGCAAATCTCTTTCTGGTGACAAAGCTCTAATATTTTCCATGTGCACTCTGGAAGAATTTCAGATACTTTCCAAAGTCAGCCTTTTAAATGGACGTATCCATATGTACAGTTTGCCTGCCTCCGATGATTATTTCTAGGCTTTAAGTGATTTAGCACCTGCTTGACATCAACCAAATTAGTTATACATCTGCCCGCATAGTCTGGCTTGACTCTCAAGCCTGTCAGCCATTGAGCACAGACTTTCGCAGAACCATTTAGTGGCAGCCTCTCTTAGCACTGGGTTTGATAGGCAGCTGTTTACAGGACAAAAGCACCTGTTGAAGATATTAAGTTATTTTGATGTTGTTCAAGGATGTTTGGCATGCTTTAGCCACCTCTCTCTCACACACACTCTCTCCACCAGTGCTGTGTGTTTTGAGTGAGCTGTGAAATGGGCATTATAAATAGTGGTCATGGGTTGTGTATATTTAGCCTCTCAAACAGCTTCTAAAACCAGAAGGGACTGGCATTACAGAGCTGGTAGTTCGCTGTGTCTCATGCTTAATGTTGGCTTTGTTCAGTAAGTATTAAGGGGATAATGTATTTGTGTATGTCTGTTTGTGTTGCTTCATGCTCTTGCTGAATGTTGTTGATGACAGGAACTCCTGCATAGGGCGTCACTGGAGAACCAGAAGCTGAGTCTTATGGGGGAGGTGTCCTACCTGAAACTAAAGCTGGCAGACATGGAAGAAAAACAGGGCCATGGGGGTGAAAGGCATCACAAAGCAGAGGTATGGCTTCTCACTAAATTAAACAGGAGAATTCACCAGATATCACCAGATATTTACACTCCAATTAAATGTACTTTTTTAAGTCAACACTTTGTCATTTTCTCTTGGATAATATATACCCAAAAGCAAAAAGCAGCCATATTAAGCACTACCAAAAGTTGATTCACTTGTTCAATTTAATTGGTAAGCTATCAATCATTTCACCTTGTAAATGGTGGGGACAGGAGAAATTAGATTATCTAAAATCTTCATCAGCTTCTACTTTACTTCAGTCCTTGGAAATTTGAAGTCTTCCTGGTATGACGAGGTAAACACAAAAATCTGCTTTGTGTTCTGATGGATCTAGCCTTGAAGTCTGCTGCTGATTTTATGGAAGATCGTAAACACATTCTGGACAGATGAAAGGAAACATTTAACCAAACCCCAGCTCTGTTGTTCCTGGGAAAGGTATACAGGAAAAAAAAAAGTATCCAAGGAGTTTAATGTTTTTTTTGTCAGTCTCAACTGAATCCTGTATTTGCTTAAGGCTACTGTGTTAGGTTACCAATAGACCTCTGAGCATTCAGTGTCGACTTTAGAAAGAGAAAGCAGGGAAAGCAGGACTGTTACTAGACAGGATACTGTAATGTATGTAGTTACTGTCAAAACACTCCTGGTCAAAGACTCTTTGTGTCCTCAGGTTGGAAGACTTCAGGCATGGTGGATGACAGGCCAAATATGAGTGTGTGTAGGCTTCGGCCCAGAGAATTTTATTCTTGGTGGTGTCTACTGGTTGAGTAGGTCATTCTCCCCATATTGGAAAAAAGATCATTTGAAGACTTTTGAATTTTGTAAAGGTTGTTATTTCTAAGCAGGAAAAAAAACCCACAGTAAAGCTCTATGTGTTTTAACAGATTGCAGTTTTTAACTAATTTACAGTTACGTTTTAAATTCTCACTTGCTTTTCTAAATCCAACTTTCCCAGCTGCTCAGAATAAATAGAGTAGAAAAAAACATACTTTAATGGTCTCCCACGTGCTGCCTCTACTACACAAACATGCCCACACATATTCATGCTTCCACACATGCCTCCTTGCTGTAGAGCCAGCTAGCTCACAGTTAAATTTAGCCATCAAGGCGCTCTGGATCATCTGTCATATCCGCTGTACTGGACCTCAAATGAGACTTCCTCTGTCCACAGTCCCAGCATAACTTGGCTGCTTGGCTGCTTTCTGAAGGAACACTGACAGGCATCACCTCTGAATTATTCACCCCTACTGAAATGTATTATTGCAAATAACATTTTTTTTTTTTTTGAAAATGGCGATATAGTTATGATCAACATAAATAGCTGCCCATGTTCATACACAACTGCTTAGCAATGCCCGTTTGAAAAGAGACTGACACTGGGAAACCAACCAATGACGTATGTTTTTCAAAGGTTTAAACGTGTATTTATTGAAGACTACATATCTACCTGAAATACATCAAAAAATGTTGAAAAGGTTAATTTCTACTAATATATATTCACACTCAGACAGACAGATACCTGCCCCACAATGTTTCATCTTTTCTTTCTAAACATTTCTCTCAATCTTTTTCTCTCCCACTGCATCTGGCAGACTGTAGTGAATTTCATTAGTGAGCTGCAGGAGCAAATATATCAGTTTCAGAAGGAAATCAATAGCAAGATCCAGGAGAAAAAGGCCCTGGAGATCCCAAATGACAGCAGACTTCCTGTGGAGTGCCCCGCTGAGTCTTCTGAAAGCCAGGATTCAAACCTGTGGGTGCCTTGTGACAAAACCTCGGGGATAATGAACAAACTGGAGGACACTCCAAACGGGGCCGATGGAAACACAACTACCCTGGAAGGGGGCAGTTCAGATGCAGAGCAAAAGTACTACTGCGGAGGAGAAAGTGTAGGCATAGCTTACTTGCATGACTTCTGTTGTTGCGTACAGCATGCGTTGTCTTACTCCGGTGTGTGGGATCCTTAGGTTTAGATGCAAATGAAACAACCGCTCACCAAACATCCTCAACAGCATTTATGTCGCTATAGAAAAACCAGCAAAACTAATAAGTGCCTGACACGGTTAAGAGCTGCATTTAGTGTGCTGTGTCTTGTGTGAAAAAAAAAAACCAAACAAAAAATAAATAAATAAATAAATCCTTTTTTAAAAGTTATTTTTTTTCATTTTCTCACACATTCTGTTACAGGGCTTGCTTAAGGAACTCAGGATTCTCAAGGACAAAGTCGAACACCTGGAGGATCAGAAGTTACAGTACGAGAAGAAACTCAAAGCAACAAAGGTAAAAGAAAGTTCAGGTTTATGTGCTGTGTGGACATTGCACTACACCATCACTGCCCAAATTCCACCACTAACTGTCCACTCAGCTTTCCTAAAAGCTGTCCAATCTGATGTTCCTGCCAGTTAAGTGAGTCATTCCTTTTTGCACATGTTCTCCCATTCTCAGACACCTATGTTTATTTGGGAACTGCAAGCTATTTTACTTTCTAAGTTAAAGCATGATAGAAATATACCTAATAATAGCTCTTTAATCATTATTGTTGTAATTTGGAGTGATTTAATGATATTAACTTTTTAGACTTTTCCCATTTTTACTTGCTCTCACCATTTGTCCTCTATTATGATAAAATCTCTACCACTCCCATTATTTTTACATCTCTCCCTGTGTTTTTTTGCTATGTATGTTTACTATTAGGGGTGCAACGATATACAAAATTCACGGTTCGGTTCGATACTTTGGTGTCACGGTACGATATTTTTTGATACAAAAAAGAAAATGTTCATGCCTTTTTAATTTGTCATTTATTAAAATTATAAATATATATTTTAACTCAAAAGTACAGTTTTTAAATTTAATGTTGCTGAAACAACAAAGTAATAAAAAAAAGAAATCTATCTGATCAAGAAATCACTCATCTTTGGAAAAGAGAGTTTATTACAGAGAAATGGCTCTTTCCAAAATAAAAGCTATACTATATGCTTCTTCTGGACTATATTCTCAGCAGCGTGTTGGATGCTGAGAATATAGTATGTTGGACAGTATGTTGGATGTGCGTGGCACATCCAACATACTGTTTTACTTTAGTCCATGATGCGCTTACCTTCAGGGTCATACGTCACATGAAAACCAAAATAGTTCCAAACACCAGATCTGAATGAGGGTGGGAGAGGTTCAGTTTGCCATGTTGCAAGGAGAGCTTAACTTCTGTCTCGCTAGCTTGCCCTGCGCTCAGTGAATCTGCGTTCGACTACTCCGCCAAGGCTGCACTGTCGAGCGCAGATCCACTGAGTGCTCAACACAGACAGCATCGTCAAAAGAAAAGTTGATAAAATAAATTAAAAATTTTGTATTGTTCGATACATATGCGTACCGAACCGAAACCACTGTATCGAATGGTTCAATATCGATACGAGTATCGTTGCACCCCTAATAACTATACACGTCTAAATGCTAAATATGCCTTGTTATGGTGTCAACTTGTTTGGTCTCCTTGCAAATCTGGTTTCAAAGGGCACATCTGCTCATTCCCTTATAGATCTATTTGTTCACAACAGACAAGCTGCTGTAAATGGTAATTGGCAAGCTGTATAGTTACACCTTGACTGACTTTAGGGTATTTATTTCTCAAGGGAGGCTGACAATAATTATTATAATTTAATATACTCTCTTATTCAAAAACATATTGCAACCTGCCGAATAGCATAATGAATAAATGCTACATTTTATAGAAACATTTTTCCTTACAGTTCTCAGGTGGAATCTTTGGTTACTAGCATCAGGGCCAAATGTCCTGATCAGTATTTGAGATATGAAGTTTATTTTCCACTGCTCGTTTGCTTCCACACGCATGCTGATAGAAAACACAGGCAAACAGATCAGCTTGAGTCAATTTCATTGCCATCTGTGTGTTCCTTCTGTAACTTGCTTCAAAACAACCTATAAACTCCAGATAGCAATGACCTAACATTTGGTACTCTAAACATCAGAGAAGTGATATTTACGTGCCTTCTTGTGGGTTTTCATATATAAGCAATGGTGGAAAAAGGTTTTGGGCTTCACTCGAGGACATGTGCTGACACTTAAACTTGAAATGCATACATACATCTTATTTTTATGAATGTGGAAATGTTTTTAGGTGTCAATCTTTAAAGAGCACATACAGTACACGTCATCTACTGGCATTTATTTCTCGCTGTGTGTTACCCACAGGCAGAGATCAGCAGCCTTCAGCAGCTCCTGCACAGTAAGAACGCTGAGATTGAGAGCTTGCACTCTCAGCTGCTGGCCAGACCCTCTTTAACCACAGAGAGCACAGAGAGAGGTAAGCAAAGCTGCCAGCCTCAAGCCCTCAGCCGACCTGCCAACAACAGCGTCTCACTCAAAGTTACCCAACTTGATAGGTGACACAGTTAATGACTCTTGTTTGCACTTTCAGTTAAAGTAACAACTATGGAAAAAGCCAGTCTCAGCCCTAAGTAAACTGTCTTATGAGTTTCTGTCTCTCTCTCTCTCAGAGGAGTTGTACAGGAAGAGACTAAACACCAAATGTAAGCCTGAGCAGTACATAATGAAAATTGTTCTAAACCCACTGGCCATGTCTACTTTTGATCTCTCATTTATTTCCCTTCTTCAGACATGCTTCTCTGTTTCATTATCTTTCATTTCCTTCTGCTCTGAGGGGCGGTTTTGACAATCACCAGCTTGTTTCCTCAATAACTTCATGCATCTCTCCTCCCTTTCACTTCTTTGTTGTCTTTATCGATTCCTGAAGAAATAATATTTTTGTATATATATAATATATTTTTGTCTGTCATAGATAACTGCTTCTCTGGGCTACTTGCTTGGTACAATCATGGTCATAGTCTTGTCCATATGATTGCAAACGCTGCAGCAAAAGTGCCTGTGTTTGCGTGCCCAGATGTGTCTGTGACTAATAATAACAACAACAGCAACAATAATTATATCAATAACAATTTACAATTTACAATTTACAATGTGCAACATCAAAAATAAGAATAGGAAATAGTGTGATTCCAGTGTAAAAAAAATAACTTCAAATGCAACATAAAAAAACAGAAGTTGAAAGAATAAGAAGCAGCAAACCACTGATTATCAAAAAAATATAAACTATATACTAACAAGAAGCTATATTTCTCCATTATTCACAAGTGGGTGACACAATGGGGGGCTCTGCAGTTTTTAATTTGGCAGAGTTTTTACACTTGATGCCTTTCTTGAACGGGACCCGAAAGGGATAAAATTTATGAAAAAGCCTTACGCTATAAATGAGTCTTTAGAAGTGATTTAAAAGAAGACACGCTTGATAGCTTTTTGTCTTTGAGCATGTGGTGGAAACAGGTTCTGCCTGAGGATCTGAGGCTGCGCACCGGTCGGCATGGGAAGAGCAATTTGAGTATAGATTCTGGGGTCAGGCCATGAAGGGCTTTAAAGCTAATAAGTAAAATCTTAAAATCAATACTGGGCAGTAGTGTGGAGTCATTAAGACTTATGCAATATGTTCAGTTTCCTGGGTGCTTGCAAGAGGTGTGGCTGCTGCATTTTGCACTATCTGAAGTCTTTTTAATGCTTTCTGACTGAAGCCTGTTAACAGACCAATACAGTAAAAAGATCCAAGAGGAAATAAAAACATGAATGATAGTCTGAATGTCACTAAAACTCAGTATTAATCATATTCTCACAATAGGTGGTCACAGACTCAAACTATGATTGATGGCTAAAAAAGTCTTCGATGAATTTAAAAAGAAATGGTTGGGAGAACTCTCGTGATGAATAAATCATTGATTTATGTGTTTGCGCCTTTCCTCGTTTTCTAAATAACTATATGCTACTAAAAAGATCTATTCATATCAAAATCTATATGACACGAGCAGAAGCCTATACAGATTTATAATCAGCATTGGGGTTTCTCCTTATAGATCAAGAACTGCAGAGGCTCAGGAGTGGCATGAAATCACTGGCAGCTGCCAATGATGAAAAGGTACGTTACTGGTGACCTGTAAACCTGTCCTTTCCCAGCTGTGATTATAGAGTAAAAGCTACCATCTGTATTGTCATCAGTTTACAGTCCTACTGGCCTGTATATGGATATGCTAACATCACTGCTTCTTCGAAGCTTATAGTGTAACAGTTTTTGGGCTGTGTCATTTGAAAAGGCAACACCCCTTCAACCATTTATAGCACAGAGGGGCTTTTGTATTCTCCCTCCAAGTGTATTTTCGACTTTAAAGACCCACAGACATTGACTTACATGTGGCACACCAGCGAAGACACACACGTACCCACACCCTAAGGCAGGCCATTTCAGGAAAAGCCACACTTAAGCAGGCCTCATTCTGCCAAGCCTAATTTTGGAGTGAGCTACATTAAGAGAACCATAGCAAAACCGGGCATGGGCACCACTTCAAAAAACACACACTCCATGCAGCTGGTTACCACAATCTCTATCCATTACTTTGATCTAAAGGCCACATGGTGGAGGAAAAACATTTGTGCAGTATATAGGTCAGTAACTGAATGAAGCAGGTAGTCCATATGGGTGTTTCCTAACCTTAAATAAACATCTTAATTGTGTTTTATGGACTTTGGACACTTGTTACCTTGTTTTCTGCAGGACCGGCGTATTGAAGAGCTCACTCTGCTCCTGAACCAGTGCAGACAGTTCAGAGAGGTCTCTAGTAACGCAAGGCAAGGTAATCAGCTTACTCAGTGCTTTATCATTCCCTTGCAGTGCTTATATTATGACGTGTCAGTGTGATGAAGCCCATCATGCGTTATTGTTTTAAAGAGAAATGGATTCTACTGCTTGAGTGGAATACAAAATCCTTCTCTTTGCTACTGTAGCACCATCTGCTGTCCGCACATTGTCGAATGGCAGGAGCCTGTCAAGCAGCAGTGAAGAAGAAGAGCAGGGTCTGATGAAGAATGGTGACACCTCGAGTGCAAAATCGGAGGATGTGAAGTCTGAAGTGGGTGCAAAAAAATCAATTAATCTGCTGGTCTCAAAAGAGCTGATCGATTAGTTCCTTAAATATTTCAATATAAGCCCAGCCTAATTATTTTAATTGTATATTAAAATGTTTATTAACCGCAGGCTTCGACAAACAGTTCTGCATCCCAGCAGACATCAATTTCATCAGTCCAGAAAGACAGCGATTCCAGGTAGTGCAGCAGCTTTTCATTAAAGGATCGTTCCAATATTTCTTAGGAGGACGGAATTTATCGATAGTGATTGTCTTCACAGATCAGAAGTACAGACTTTATCAAGCAGCATGAATGACATAACAAATGGAACTGCGCAAAAGGTATATTTCTTAAAATGTGATACAATTCATATGAACAATGTTTTAGCTCACAATGCTTCCCTGCTTAGTTCTTTTATAGTTTAAGATCTGCTATACTGTTTCTGATGAACGCATAAGAGAATCACAATTAATTATTTATTTACAGATGTATTTATATTTATATTTACTCTATATTTATTTACATATTTCTTTTATCATTTAGAAAAGTCACTGTCTTTTCTGTTTGTATCTACTCTGTTCATCCAGACTGGCCCGAGTGAAATGAGAAGTCACACGCTGCCTGTGAATTCCTCTCTGTCAGAACAAAATGGGATCGGAGACAGCAGCAGTGAAATACAGAGTCAAAGGTCTCCAGCTGGGAGTGAAGACGGAGACTCAAGCCAAAGTAAATCCCAGCATATTAAATCAAGTTTTCCTGACTGCTGCTTATGGTTATTTATTATATATTGGCTGGTGTTCTGTAATGAACCTTGGTGTACTGCAGAATCCGTTCTCCATTTCTATGGAAAAGGCGATAGCCTTGTAATTCCCATGAGTAAAGGCGGTATTCATATTTGGAGGAAACCACTTTATGTCGACCAGGCTACTTTTGATCATAGCTAATTGCAGAGCCTCCTGACAGAGCAGATGGATCATGGTATAGACTTTCATACTGAGCACGCCCTCTCTCTTGCTCTGATTGACCACATTCATCCCAGCTCCACCCGTCCACAGCACGACTGACCAATTTTAACTTGAGCCCCACCCTGATTTATCTTTGCTGCAGTCTGCTGGAGTGAGATGACTGTCTGTAGCCTCTACCTCTACCATAAAGATCAGACCTTGTAAAATTTTGCCTCTAATCCCTTTCTTTTTCATGGGGCATTAACTGATGAATTATTTGCTGAACTCAATGGCCTGTATTCTGAGTCTCTCTACTGAATAGAGCACTGTGTAGCAGCCGGCCACCCTGCATGCACCACTTTGCTCTTAATGTCCTCTTTGCTATGAAAATGTAGGAAAAAAACAAAAAGCTTTTTATGGGTTTTTACTCAGTCACCACCATCATCATCAGGAGTTCAACGCTGATCGTGCCAAAATTACAGGAAACGGCTTAATCATCCATAGAGGCAATCAATCAAATATGATTTATTTGGCAGGACTACAGTGGAGCTTTGTCTGCTTATATTATCGGAATAAACTCAAATTTTCAAATGCATCTTTAATTTTTTTATGGTTTAACTGGCCATGTAGAAGACGCTTTGGATCATATTTTGACTTTGTAATTTACATAACATTTACTGTGGTTTTTGTATCCTCCCAAAGGAAAGCCGGAGAAAGGTGATGACAGCACCTCAAGTGACACTTCCCCTGTTCATTCTGGCCAGCGAGCTGTGGGCTCACCAGAATACATGAAGAATAACAGGAGCTTCAAGAGACTCTGGGGAAAGTGAGTTTGGGAGCATACATAAATACATCAAATACACAGTGCATTAACCTAAATGACTGCCAGATAGCCGGAAAAAAAACAACAACTAAGAAATGCAAATAAAGTTTGATTGATTGATTGTTTGATTGATTGATTGATATATTAACACATTCAATTATGTGAACATGGCATGTACCCAATGGTTTATAGGATGTATGTCTTAAATGTACATATATATTTATAAAAAATACTTGTATGCACTCTGCCTTATTTCTTTACTTTTAGACTTAGACTTTTTTAGCTGTTACTAGAAAAAGATGTTACTGAATTGATAAATTAAATTTACAATATATTCTGTTTTTGCTATTCTGTTTTCTTTTTTTGGATTAAAAAAAAATACATGATAACTGTTTCCAGTCACATAAAAAAGATTGATCAAACTCTTGCAGTCCTGTGAAACTAAGTGCACCCTGTGATTTGGTATATTATTTGAAACAAGAAACAATAACTTCACATTGTTGTTGAGAAATTTTGGCACATTCTTCTTTACAATGTTGCTTTAGTTCATTGAGTCTTGTGGGCACCGCTCTCTAAAGGTCTTACCACAGTATTTTAGTTAGGTTAAGGTCTGCACTTTGGCTGGGCCACTGCAGCAACTTGATTTATTGTTCTTTTTCCAGCCATTTTGTTGGAAATTTGCTGCTGTGGTTGGGTCATTGTCCTGTTGCATGACTCACTTTTGGTTTAGCTTTAGGTCTCAGACAGATGACATTACATTTGTCTATAGAATACCTACGGTACAGAGGAGTTCAATAAATGCAAATTCCTCAGGTCTTGTGGTTACAAAGGTAAAATAATTATCCCTCCACTACTGTGCTTGACAGTTTTTATGAGCTGTTTGTGCTGATATGCTGTATTTGGCTTTAACATTGACCAAACATCTCCACTTTGTTCGGGTCTGTCCAAAGAACACAGCTCTTTTGGTTTGTTCAGATGAAACTTTGCAAACCTAAGCAGGTTTCTAAGTTCTTTTTAGAAAGAAGACACTTGCTTCTAACAATTTTGATATGAATATTATGAACGGAGGACTGTAACATTGCATTGTCTGACTGCCATTGCTGGGTCATCTACTCCTGGGAAGATTTTGTGATCAATGCACTTGACTGCTGTAGACCAGCAAACTACCTAAACTTTTCCCTTTTACAGAGGTGCTCACACTTGTTGATGATAAACTAGTCCAGTCCATTTGATAAACAGCATCTGGCTGTTACTGGCCCTCTTAGTTTCTATGGAAGCAGTTGAGGTGTACTTACTCTTTCATAGGACTGCATAGAGTACCTTGAAAGCTTTCTTTTCAACATAACTGTATATTTTAAAAACATTACTTTGAGAATTAATACCTGGCAGTTTTTCTAGTCACATAATTTTCTCTTCTCCACACAGACTTAGAAGAACACAGTCTGGAGGCCTTCCCGCTACAGATCCAGATTCTGGGCAATTTAGAAGAGGGGGACTGCGTGCGACTGCTGGTCCCAGACTGACCCGAACCCCTGAATCATTTGACTCAGCACGGTAAAACGCTATCTGATCTTGTAATACAGTATTTTAAGGGTTATGTATCTCTGAATTGACCCTTGTAATTTGCTGTTTTAAAATATTCTGCTGTGGTTTTCATGCCACATCCTCTTCATCACCATTTCCCAAATGGCTACAATGAAACACGACTATTGGCTAATTCGTTGTTTAATAAAATTACCATAAATACTTGAAAATATGGCAATTTGAAAAAACTTCTCCTAATAAAATAACAATTTTTAACATTCATTATTAAAACTTCTTTCCTATCAGTGATATGAATATTCCATTCAGCCAGTGGACCAAGGAGCAGGTGTGTGGCTGGCTAGAGGACTATGGATTGGGCCAGTACATTAGTCTCTCCAGACAGTGGGTTGAAAATGGACAAACACTTCTGTCTGCCACACCTCAGGATTTTGAGAAGGTCAGAATATAAACCCCTTACAAGCTATTTACATAAAAAAACAAATCTCAAATTTTGAAATCAGTTACACTCCATATCTTAAATTAAAATTCATTTTTATGTCTAAATATTAGACTTCATCAGAATTGCATGTGTAGAGAAAATGAGAATACCTCAGTATTTGTGTGATAAGACAAACTGTTCTTTGTAACCTCAGGAGATGGGTATGAAGAATCCACTGCACAGGAAGAAGTTGCAGCTCGCTCTGCGGGCATTCACCACTAAAGTTATAGAGAAGTCCTCAGAGCTGGACCACATCTGGGTCACCCGTAAGCCTATTTGTGTGGAATTATTTCAAATTCTCAGGCTTATGTGTTCACATGTAAATCAGATCTACAAATACCATACCAACAAGAATATTAAACCAAAGAAAACCAAAACAATTGTAACTGTAAATGCAATTTTAACCTTCCCTCTAAACCAGGGGTGTCGAACTCCAGGCCTCGAGGGCCGGTGTCCTGCAGGTTTTAGATATCACCCTAGGTCAACACACCAGAATCAAGTGATCAGTTCACTACCAGGCCTCTGGAGAACTTCAAGACATATTGAGGAGGTAACTTAGCCATTTAAATCAGCTGTGTTGGATCAAGGACACATCTAAAACCTGCAGGAGGCCTGGAGTTCGACACCTGCCCTCTAAACTCTTAAATGTCTTCTAACTAAGCAGCTCCAGTGAACATGCTTTAAACATGTGAAGAAACATTAAAGTGAATGAATGACGTTGACTGATTCTTTTTTTAATTTTACACATGAATTCAGGCTGGCTGGATGATATTGGATTGCCACAGTATAAAGACCAGTTCCATGAAGCTCGAATAGATGGTCGGATGATACAATATCTCACAGTGGTAAGGATTCATCTTACACATACTGCTTTAGATTTTCTGTAATTTGTGGCCAGCAAATACATTCATCTGGCTTTAAAATATAACTTAAAACCCTAAAAAGTGCATTATAATGAATTGACAGATTTTCTACTGTGCTCATGCTGATATTTCTTTTTTGTTTTTTGTTTTCCTGTTCGGACAGAATGATCTCTTGACTCTAAAGGTTACCAGCCAACTCCACCATCTTAGTATTAAGTGCGCAATTCATGTGCTTCATGCCAATAAATTCAACCCAAACTGTCTTCGACGTAGGCCAGTGGAGGAGGTAGGACTTTTGAAAGCTGTGTCCCTCAAATAGAGTTCCCAAGCGCTGTAGAATCAACACATTATGTTGTTTTGTTTTTTTGGTTTTCTTTTCACTTTCCTTTGTCACCTGAGTTTATGTAACAATTACTCTACTTTTTCATGTTATCCAGTATTCTTTGCAAAAAAAACAGTTGAAACCTTAACAGCTGAAGCTCAGATATAACAAGCTTCTATAGACATTTAGGAGGTGATGCTCTGGCTGATGTAATCGCATCCATTTCCCACAAGATGGCGACAAATATTTGTCAAATATTTGTCAAGATAAAGCATCTAATTTTATATCTGCTTTCAAAAGCCTTCAAGACTATTTGTTTATGTATTTCTTTAATGTGCTTAGAATAAGTTTTACACACGTACATGTATAATAGAAGGTGGTTTTTTTTTTTTCATTTCTTTTTTAATTTTGCTTTTAGAAACATCCTCCTCCTTCAGAAGTAGTGCAGTGGTCTAACCATTGTGTGATGGAGTGGCTGAGAGCAGTTGACCTAGCTGAGTATGCTCCTAATCTACGGGGCAGCGGTGTTCACGGTGGACTGATTGTAAGTCATGTAAATTTTGAGCTTGTCTACAAGCGTGATTTGTTTCTTTGCGATCGTACCAGTTGTATGTGCTTATACTAGATAGGAGCAGAGAGTTCATTATGTTGCCTTTATCTTTGGCAAACATAGATTCTGGAGCCTCGCTTCAGCTCAGAGACTTTGGCCCTGCTTTTAAATATTCCTCCGCAAAAGACTTTGCTCCGTCGTCATCTCGCAACTGCATTTTCTGCTCTGGTTGGGCTTCAGGCCATGCAGGAGAAACGGGAATATGGCAATGCTACGGGCCATGTGCCCCTCACTACAACCGCAAAAGTAAAGGTAAGATCACTATTTAAATCAGTGAAATACTATGCAGCCTATAATCAACATTATTTGTTAATACATTGGCCTTTTTGTGTGTTTTTAGCCGAAGAAGCTGGGCTTCACTCAATTCAGTCACCTCAGAAAGAGGAAGCCTGATGAATCTGCGGACTATATCTGCCCGATAGACAGTGGAGCACTAACAGTAAATGGAGTTTCTCGCCTGCCATCTTCAGCACAAAGAGGCCTCAGCCCCAGGTTGGACAGACAGGCTGAGAGGGAGGAACAAGTGGGGATCAAAGCTCAAACTAATGGCCCCAAACAATAATTAAAATAGAGCATGGAACGCCATGCTGTCCACCCCACATATATCTAAGTGAGTTCATAAATCCAGCGGAAATTCTAATGCAGACATTTACCCATGATGCATCTGCATTGTGATTTGCTGAAAGGGCTGTGATGCAGTATTTACCAATTGTTAATTGTTGTTAATGTTTATCTAATTAGATAATATTCATCTTAAGAAGGTGATGATTAATGACAGTGTTTGAATTGTTTTAATAAAGCTACTCTGCATTCCTTATACAGTGGAATTCCAAGGCTTACAATTTTGCTTTTAAGCATTTTATCAACTATTTTGTATGTAGACTTCTTTAGCCTTAGTAAGAATAATGATGATCTTTTCTTGTTGCACATGTGGATTTTTGTACAGTGTAATAACGGATCAGCTACCTTCAAAATGTTTAAAGTTACCTTTAAGGCTTCTGTATAAATCTGATTAAACATTTTTTTGCAGCTTCAAATAAGGCTTGTTGGTTTATGGGAACCTAGAACCCCAATTTTGTCCTCATTTGCAGTAATTAAAACTTGTATTATATTAAAAAAAATAAAAAATAAAATCCATAACACTCGTTTCATTTGTGATGCCATCTGATAATTAAAGACTTAAAGAGACTAAAGACTGCCCACTAATAAGAAACAAAGAATTGATATCATGAGAAAGTCTGAATATTTGTTTTAATGGAGGTGATAATGGTGCAATAGTGCATGTTTTGATTTTGTTGACGATTTAACAAATTCATCAAAGAACTAATGTTCCCTATATTGGAGTAGTTTTATAGTTTTCACACAGTTAAAATATTTTTTCTAAAGCATCCTCTAAAGCATATATAGGGGTAAATATATGCAGTCATTGTGAAGTAACTGTTATCTGCAGAAAAATGTTCTGTGGCTTTATTGTAAAGTCAGAATAAAATAAAATGGAAACTCTGTAAAGTTTCCATGGCAACTATTTCTGACCCGACCCGATTCACAAACCACCCATCCCAAAACAATTGTAATAATACCTTAGGAAAAGGAAAATCCATTGTCTATTAATCTTGAAGATCAAGATGCTAACAATGTTTGACTTTGATGCAATAAAATTGAATTGAATGCATCTATGGATATGACTAAACAACATTTATGCCTTCATCTGTAGGTTCAACCAAACTAAGGCAGCTCACAGGTGATGAGTAACTGCCTAAATTCATCTAATGCTGTCTTTTTTCTAAATGAGACCTAGACAGTGACAGTGCTGGTCAGAGTTCTAAATAAAGGCTAAATAACTGACTCAGTGTTGGTGTGTTTGCACATGGTTGCAGAGCTAGGGAATTCACTAGGATTCTGCCACCATTTCTGGGGCAGCAGTCAGTTTCCCTCTTAACCTTCCTGCAGAAGCACACAGCCTCAATTAGACCAAACACAATAATTAGTGAATCTTTTACCTTTGCATATCATTAGTTCTCTAACAGAGAACACCCTGATCAATGATTATAAATGACAGGTTCATAAATAAATTAATCCTGCTGACAAGAGTGTAACACCACTCAATTGATCCATGTTAAATGGAAATTAGAGGGATGCAGGAGTGAGGACTAAGAAAGCAGGTATTGGAGATTTAAAGTTAAAGTGATAAAGAAACTTTTTTTTCATAATGATGCATATTAGGTATCTAATGTTTATGACATAAAGCTTTTTAGCATTCATGCTTAGAAAATGTTGAAATAAAGGGTTTTTTTTTATTTGAGCTTTTTTTTAAACCAGCAGATGTCAGTGTTGCCTGTGCATGCTGCATTGTGGCAAACTTGGCAGCGCTGAAACTTCATGTTGACTCAGTGAGGTGCAGCACAGAGGATTCAGATAGAAAAAAAAAGAATTGTATTCAGTTTTCACATTTTGAGTTATAGGGATTTCTCAAGGTTGATATTGTTTTTATTAATTCAGTGACACTGCCTCAGGTGATAGTTTACTATAAGAGCTATAGTATGTCTGTACTTCCCTACACTGGAAATGGCATGTAAAGTTGTATGAATTGTTATACCAATCCAAACAACATGTGAGGATATCACATCATCAATCAAATACTGGACCTGGTGTCCTGTGGAAGGTTAGAATCTCTGAGTTTTTGTCCAATGCTTACGTCAGTCATTTTATGCTACTTTCTCCACAGTATAGTGTGCGTGCATGCGTGTGAGCTTATCTGTAGTATGCATTCATGTGTTAAGAGAGGGTGGCATTGTTTATAATAGAGCATCTTAGGCTAATTTCAGTAATGTGATCCAGCCCGCACTAGCTGACAGTTTAATAGCTATTATTTGTGTCACCCTCCCTCATAATGTGTTAGCAGTAAATTGCCATGTGCAGGAGACTGTGGTATGACTGACATCTTACCTTGCAATATGATATCTATTGTTTTAATTAAGTGAAAGCGTCTGCGACATTTATTGGTTTCCAAGTTACTTGTTAATGGCAGTGTGGGGGGAAAGAAGTGTTAGTAAATTATCATGGTTTACATTACATAAATAATTTGCAAACCCTTTGCTAATGATTACACATTATTCTCCCACTGTGACTGTTAAGTTATCTGAATACATCACAAATATAACACTGTACTGGTGATGGAACTCCTCCTTGGCAATGCCTGAGCGTTCAGTCATCCATCTCAGCTTATTTCTGTGTGTGAGTGGCTCCGAGTAAGGTTTATTTATTCTGTGCCCCTTTTGTGGTAACATTTAACATTGAGATTAGAGAGGCAAACTTTTATTTTGTTGCCAAGTTCCCTGCTTAAAGTAATGCCAGTAGCCAGCGTATTAGTACTTTAAGTCATCACCCTGTCTGTTTGATCTATGGACTCACTAAGATCTCTTTAGTGGAACATAATCATGTTTTTATGTGATGTCACTGGTCGTTCCTGTCATTAACTTGCCACCAGCTTGCCAGTTTGGGGAACATATTCAATAGTAGGTTGGTGCATGTGTTGTATACTCTCCATCCAGCCACTAAAGCTGTATTTGTCTCCAGCATACCAGTTTGTTCTGACAGGCCTGCCACAATGATGACTACATCATCCAGACGAGGCAGAGCAGCTTGCGAGCCAACCATGACACGCCGTCAAAAGGAGCAGCCAGCCGTCTACATGAGCCTTCTTCTGCCCCATCAAACCTCAGAGCCCATCTCATCCTGTACAGCCAGTCACCATCAACCAGGCTGTTTCTCTCTGTTTGCTTTCCATGCTGAGTACATCCCATGGAAGAGTCCTATGTGGCTTATATTTTGCTTTATAATATTTACTACCAAATTTCAGTGGCTATAAATCTTCTTGAATTATCTGCAGACGATCTGAACTTACCACAAAGAAATTATGACAGTAGTGGTCCAAAACAAACATGATGGGATGTGATTTGGGGAGCTGAAGTAGAAGAGCTTGGTTATGATCAGCCCCCTTGGCGCCAAAGGAGCCTTTTTATTGGTAGCCAAGACACCCACTGCCCATTCCTCCCCACCCACCCCACACCCAGCCCCCACAGAACGTCATGCCTAGTTGGTGGACTGTATTTTCATTGCCTGAAAAATATGGCTAGCCCACTGAGAGAAAGAAGAAAGATTAGACAATGATATTAGGCAATTATAAAGATAAGACCTAAGACCAATTAAGCATGGATTATGTTGCACTGTTAGATAAAGTTGAAATCATTTTTATTACAATAATTGATTGTTGTTAACCTAAATACTGCAGATATATGTGACCTGCTGAGTTTCAATCATATCAATTTCTATTGGCCTGAAGATATGGGAGTAAAGGACAAAATATACCAGTTTTGTTAAAACATAACATCAGCAATATAACATTTGTTTTGCAATACACTCTAGAATCATATCATAATGACTACTCTCATTTATTCCATGTTCTATAAACATTGCACATTGGTACAAATAAACTCCAGAACCTGTGGGACGATGACATGAATGACACAAGGGTCAACATGTAGGTTCAAATAAATGACTGCAGAGAAAAAGAAACAAGCATTTTAGAAATAGTCGCCCCCTTCTCTCTGTCTCTCGCTATCTTTCTCTCTTTCTGTCACTCTCTCTCTCACACACCCACGCACACACACAAAGACAGAGAGAGTGTGAGCAAAAATGAACCAGGTAAATCGGAGGTTAAACAAATGATTTAAAAGAGACCGAAAAGGGAGCGTTTAGAAACCATTCCGTTTCTAAATCTTTGTTCAAAACTGTTATAAAAGTGCTGAAACTCAGAAGACTTCCCATGACAGGGGAACAGACACAGTTTCCTAACCTCCAGCCATCATCATGGGTGATCAAGACTGACATGCATCACCAGAGGCTTTCATGTCCAATGAGAACACCTGTCTGACTCTTAGGGTGAAACTAGACAGAGGAATGCCATGGCAAATAACCTTTCACATGTACTTCAGACGACATAATGATAATGTGTTCCAAAGCAGGGACAGAGACACAGAAAATAATTCAGGAGAGGATGCTTGAGACTATGTCACTATAGATGTACAAGACAATCTCTGGATCATATTCTGAAACTCTTAAGGTTAGTTACATCTTTTCATCTGTTGTTCAAAGCTTCTGAAAAAAGCAAACTGGTTCAGAGCAAATGAGCTGTCCACAAGCTGGGATTCCCCATTGCAGGGAGCTGTCTTAGAAGTTATGTTAACTGATTTATTCTTGTACATAGTGGCTAATAACAAGGACACAAAGAAAAAAAAATCAGTCACCGGAGGTTAATGCTGACAATGTGCTGAAAGGAATGACAGTAAACACTCTTGGAAGTGTTGCGAACTGAAAGTGTCATGTCAGTAACAAAGTATGTGCGGTATGTATTGTACAATGCTGAGTACGCTCAACTGTGAAATTCAGATTTATGAAACTCAGCAGAGGTTGTTCAAAAATCAAATTTTAACTTTTAGTGAGTTGAAGCAATATATAATTCAAATTTAACTGGCATGAACACATTTTAATTACAGTGAGTCACCCAGATTCAACAGGGGACATATTTAGAGGGGTTTTTTTGTAAATGTAAAAATACAATTTAATACAACTTTATGTACATGGAAGGTTTTTCTTAAACAAAAAAACAAAACATGCCACATAGACATATGCAAGCCTGACTGCCTAATTCATGCTGGGTGAATTCATGAGGATGTAGTCACTATAGAAACATTTTTTGAATGGGTTTAATGCTCACATTATCAACAACCATGTCAATGGTTGAATAAACCAAACTTCTCAATGCTTTAAGATTTCATCAGCGAACCACTCCTTTGTGTAGGAGGGTTTCACATACAACATCATCATCTTTTACTATGAATGTGGTGGTTAGAGCCACAACTGCATTTGTTTTCTATTTGTGCATGAGTTTTCATTATGCTTTGAGTTTTTACGTTTAGATCTAGGAACCGTAGCTGTAGGGTTGATATGATTTATGTTATGGTGCAAGCTGTTGAAATTGGAGCGCTGCAGTTTGAGGAAAGTCCCACACTTGCTGCCTACCAGTATCAGTTTTCAGGTGGGGTGGACGTTATCATCAGGATCCGTGTGCCAGCCAG